ATGTGCTCCAATTTTCCGACGTGCTACCCGCATTTGTAACATACCTGTCCCCTTCTCTCAAACGCCGGTATGTACACATGTCATTTATAGTTCAGCAAGCATTATGAGGAATCTGCTATCTTTGCGCACTGATAGTTCCCCGGAGTTGACACAGTTCCTCCAAAAGCTCTACAGAGGGTAGCTAGGAGGATAGCTGAACCATTAATGAAATGTTTCCCAAGGTGCCTGGACGAACAGCAGGTCCTTAACATGTGAAAGCAAGGCATTATCATTCCGATTTTTAAGAGTTGCAACCGTTCAGAGCCCGCCACTTTTCTCCAAGTGATTCTTCTCCCAATCCTATCCGTGGTGCTGAAGTCGATCATAGCTTAGGCTCTAAAGGACTACTTTGAAAGGTCTAACATCATAGCACAGGAAAAATAAGGATTCCGTTATCATCGATCATGTATTACAAATCTTCAGATTGTGCGTGGCAGTTGAACTGAGATAGTCGAGAGTGAGACCGGCATTGATGTCATCCACCTAGACTTCTATAAAGTTTTCGACCACATAGACCACCGTATCCTTCTCAAAAAGCTACAAGGATACGGAGTTGAGAACCCACTTCTTGGATGGCTCGAAAACTTTTCCCTTCAGGTCCTAGTTTGGGGGCTCGTTTTCTTATCCAACTAATGTGGACGGTGGTGGTCCACAAGGTTCAGTTTTAGGTCCGCAGTTATTCACGTACATCATTAACGACTTCGCCCGCGCCTTCAAGACAATTTTTCTGATTTTTATCCTTGATATCAAGGTATGCCTGACGATGGGCTGTCAGAAAGATCATGATCGGCTGTAAGGAGACTTAGACCTTGCTGTTGAATGATCAAAGGCTAATGTGCTTCCGTTTAACACGGACGTTTGCAGAACTGTGCAGGTGCGCCACAACCTCACTAACACATATAACCTTGGAGACCACATGCTGAGGACTTCCTCACAAGAACGCGACCTTTGGTGATGATGGAAAATGACCTCGGCTTTTCGGTGCAGTCACTGAACGCGTCCAAAATCGCAAGCCACATTGTTTTTTTTTACAGTGGGGTTCTGGGAGGTTCGATCCCTCCACCTTCCACAAATGCTCAACGACTATGTGAGGCCACCTGAAAAGCACGTCATCTAGGCTTCACCATCTTGGCTAAAACGCGAGCTGGCTGCACTGGAGTCCACAGAGCGAAGGGAAGCAAATAATATAAAGGGGTTCTTCCACCTGCCATAACATATTCGAATGAAAGCCCAAGGAGTGTACAGCGGAAGTTATCGCCGTCGATGAAATGACCTCATCCTGGCGTTCCAGATCTTGAAAAACGCCGTCACGCTTGCCACCACTACCTGAAAGTTAGTCGCAACACGGAATTGTGGGGTACTAAACTGATACTGCTCACTCAATTCAGTCGGCTGAAGTGCTGCGGGAATTAGTTCTGCCTTCACATTTTTCAACCATGAAACCCTCATTCGAATTTTGTCATTTTTATAAAACTACTAGACGATGCTTTACACCGCCTGCATTATTTGACCTGATTTCAGTTTAGTGAGTGACGACAAGACGCAGACAATGAGTGTACTCACCAACCCCAAGCAATCGGGGTAAACGGATATAGTTTTGTGTTAACGTGGGTAATATATCCAGTCCACAGATGCGTTTTTCCTTTACGTGTAACATTTTTGAACTAACCTTATTCCCACAACCGTCCCACAAGACGTGTTAAACCTTGGCTATTTTATGTCCGTATTAAACCATTGTTCCATTGTAACATTCTACAGCACCTGTAACTGCATCTCCATTCGGCAGACCCGTTGCTCTGGAAATCTTGCACAAGGCAAGCTTAGATTTGTGAACACAACATTTAGAGTGAAAACCGACATTGTGTGTATATTGTCTAATACATTTAGATGCTAGAGAATGACCGATTAAGTGAACATATCCATCATACTGCTGCAACTCGAAGAGGCTTAGTGTAGAAAGTAGCTGGACTGTTACATTCATTTCCAAGTTGAGCAACCAGGCGCATTGAGGCCGTCACCTAAAGAGAGGATGTGCATTTTCACCAGAAATACAGAGGATGTGTATTCTTGGAATTAAAGTTGGAATGCAGCTACTAGCATACTTGGGTTAAAGGATGTGTTGACAAATTTCCAACTGATTTGCTTTTAGAATCTGCCGTTAGTGCACCGCTAAAAACAATTTTTGACACCACCCGCTGTTCATCTACAGCTGTCCTTCGGAGTGACTTTCAAAACGATACTCTTGTAATTACACATCCAGAGGCTATCCGCCGCAGCCAAACACAGTTAGACAGCAGCTGTACATGCTGAGGGCATTAGGCGACTGTTCACTTCATATAGAAATAGTCAGCAGCGCAGAATTAATCCATCCTCAGTTGGGCTGGAACGCGTAATCCTTCTCTTACGATTTCGTGCTTAAGACCACTGCGTTATGAGAAAATGAGCTGCAGTCGCCGCAACTTGGCTACTATATATATATATATATATATATATATATATATATATATATATGTTTAGCTTATAGACAGTTGAGTATATATATATATATATATATATATATATATATATATATATATATATATATATATATATATATATATATACTCAACTGTCTATAAGCTAAACATAAAGCCAGCGAAAACCATGAAATGAAAATAGTCAATACGGCGACCACAAAGAAAAAGAAAAGATGAAAGATACAATATAGCTTTTTGTTTTGTATCGTGTTTGCCTTTTTTGGTTTTTGTACCCACGCGTTTTAACTGTGTTTGTCTATTTAATGCTTGCGATATAAAGCAAGAAAATCAAGACAAACATTTGTATACCTTTTCCACGGGCCCGGTTCTGCTCCAACTCCGAAAGAATTTCCAGCCAACGGTGCTCTTCATCTTTGATCCTCCAGCAAGGCAGACGCAAGGGGTCCAGAACAGCTAAACTGGAAGCTAGCGTTTTAACCGTTTGTTCCACGTGATAGCCTGACCATCGTGCGATTTCTTCCAGTCTGGTCCTGTGCGAGCGAAGAGAGCGCGTCGAGGCAGCCATTTGCACGACATACCTAAAACGTGGCCCAGCCATCTCAGTTAGCGCAGCGGTACCAGTCTGTCAAGTGGAAGTCCCGTGTTACCCAAGACGCGACGTCTAACATCATAGTTGCCACGTGGTTCATCCACCACACCCGAGCTATTCTCCGTAGACATTCACTGTCAAAGGCCGAAATCCGACCTAAGTCATTCACACGAATCCGCCAGAACTCCATCCCATACAGCAGCTCGGCGCGAACACAGGCGTTGTAGACCCTGCCCTTTACCCATAGTGAAACGTCACGGCGTCACTACAGAGGCCTCAAGTTGGCGAATACCGATCGGACTTTGGCAATGCGGAGGAAAATCACTTTTCCAATGCTACCATTGGCAAGAACACAGCTTCCCAGGTAAACAAAGTTGTCCACTTGTCCAAGCTGCGTACCTTGAAGAGTGAGCATTGTAGCAGATGGATGCCAATTCAAAGCCAGGACTTTGCATTTCGTAGAGGCAAAACTCATGCCATATTTTGATGCTTCAATCGCCAAGCGGTTTAGAACGGCCTGTGTGCTCTGTGCGCCATCATCAAGCAAGACAGTATCATCAACCTAATCTGAATTGGTCACGCGGTTGCCAGGAAGCAGTTCTACATCAGAACCCTGAAAGCCATCGAGAGCGTTTAAAAGGACATCCTCGATCGCAAAATTGAAGAGAAACGGTGACATGGGACAACGCAGTCGTACACCGCTAGTGACGGCAAAAGGTGAAGAGGGCTTACCGTAAGTCTTTACTTTCCTTGAGACATTGCAGTATACTGCTCGATGGCCATATACTTTTCAGGCACTTCATTCCTTTGTAAGCAACGCCGTAAAGCTGGCCGATCGACGGATTTGAAAGTGGCTCGAATGTCCAGAAAAACAACGATAGTGGGCTGGCGGTAAAGATGACGCGTTTTAAGGAGTTGGCGGAGCGCAAACAAGTGGTCCATACACCCACTATCGGGGCCGAAACCAGGTTGTTCTTCACGGCAGCGTAATTCTCAAATTGGGGTTAGTCTGCGGAGTAGAATAGATGCTAACAGTTTAGAAACAGACATTAGACTGATTCATCGGTGGTTAGCGCTTAAGTTACGGGTACCTTTCTTGCAGATCGGGACGATAAAGGACTCGCCCCCAGCGGATGGAACTGTTTCTTCACACCAGATCTTAGCGAACGAAGCTGTTAGCCGATTGACAATTACTTCGCCCCCGAACTTGAACAGCTCTGGAGGAAGTCTGTTTGAGCCAGCAGACTTGAATCGTTTCGAGTGTCAAAGCTCAAAGTAAAGCTCAGCTTCAGTGGGTGGTTCCAATGAGTTGTTTCAAGGTGCGCAATCAGGGATAGTCATTAGTCTCGCCGGCGGAGGTGGCCAGCTGAATGGAGTACGGAAATGTTCCGCCCAGTACCGGCTTCCAAAGAAATTGCAGCAACTTATGGCTGGGAAGAAAATTCAAAAGGCATGTTCATCGAGTTAAATGAGTGAAGTAATAGCAAAACACATCCTTACGTGTTACTACATCATATCGGTGGTGATGTTGAGAAATGGATTCTCCTCTTGTGGTATCAGTGGGATGTTAATGATTAGTGTGATATATATTTCGAAGAAACTAGCTTTGTTCTGCCGCACATCACTTTGTCGACGGTCCAGCACAAAGTACACTTTGCGATACTTTAAAAGATCAAGTAGCAACTGAGCTATGGCAGAATTAAAGTGGATCAGCAAAATTAGGCTAAGCACAACCAACTAACGGTCTGCGGTCCTCATCAATTGTTATGAGATGCGAGTATAAGCACTGGCCCGCAGGAACCCGACAGTAGTTTTATCGCTAACGGCATAGAAGGGGTTCCTACTTAGCACGAGTTTAAAACGTGAGACACGGTTGTCCAGCTATACTTCATGTAGTTTGTAGGTGTGTGGCTAGCGATAATCCTACTGAACGACATTTACTTCCTCTTAACAAGATGAATAAACCATTGACCTTCAATAATATTGTAACACTGGGCCTCAGCCGTCATCTTGGAGCAGAGAAACAGCAAGTTGAGAGCCATTATGTCACTTGTACGATGAAGGATCCGAAGACAAGTAAGTTGGGTGACCATCTATCGTGGATTAGTTATTGGCAGCTCAACTGCTGGTGTCTGTACTGACCTGGAGGCGTCAGTTTCCTTACGGAATCAGCGGAATTACAGTCTCCAATACTCATGTGTTGGAATAAATCAGTGCTGTTGCCAAGTTCCGTCTGGCATTTTTCATGTATCTGACAATGTCTGGTCACATCTAGCCATGATAACTGCTTCTAATTGCGAAATTCTTTTTGTTAATAATCTGGATGTCATTGAATTCAATGGAATTAGAAGCAAAATATGAAGTTTGTTTCGGCTTTATTTCATTAGCGAACTCCATGAATCAACCGACTGAGCGGATGCCGATCGTCGATAACTCAATTAGTATATGAGGGAGACACAAATGGCCTCAATCTATCTAATCCGCCGGATAGTTGTTCCCTTTCAGTAAGACACCACACCGTAAACACGTGCAGTAGGGTACGAAAATACCGGTGAAATTTCTTGACTAGTCATCTCAATACCTTTATTATCCAAAAGGAATACTGTGAACAAGCCGGAAAGCTCAGATAAACAATACCATTTAAAAACTGCATTTGCTAACAGAAGTAGAGTACCCTACATGCTCAACCCATAAACGGTCTGGGATTATGACAACAGCAAGAAATTGTCTCCGATGGCACACATTTAAGTTTGCTTCGCCCTTGTCGCTGTATGTGCATCGAATTCGGTTTGTAAAGATATTCATGGCTCTGTCCGCTTTCAACAAAGCGACGTTCCATCGGTTTTGCTCCTATTCGAAGTAATAGAACAGTGATATTTAATGGGCAAAAAGCTAATGCATAACAGGTAGTGTGGGATGGCGGAGAAAAAAATAGCAAATGTAGCGAAAAGTGTGCTAAGATATTTGTTGGTGTATTGGTAGACTCACCTGGGTGTTTGAATGGCAACAACTTGAAATTCCCCTGGTTCGAGTGCAGGAGTAAACTTTTCGGTTGTGTTAGGTAACGTTGTACCCAACGAAGAAATTTAAGTGGTGCAGTAGTTCCTTAACCCTTTTTTAGTACCGGCAAATTGGGGGGAAACACGATGTGCGTGGGGAGGGGATTTCACTGTTGTTACATTCTCGAAAGTTGAGAAGCTTCGACTTATCAAGACCAGTTGTTTGGATTTGGGTAGGAAAACTGGCACTGTTCAAAAGAGGACGGCGACACAGTAACATAATTAAAGTACATGATCTTACCCGTCTCTGTGGAATAAAGAGATAACAGTAGAAGAAAAATGCACTCGTAATCGGGACGAAAATACTCACACCTACAGGTGTGAGTACAAACACGGTACAAAACACGGTTAATGAAGAAACCCAAGGCATTTTATCTGCACTATGGTTTCATCGTGCAAGTGCCACTGTGGTCATCATAGGGGAATTGCCGACCATATGGTATTTTTATCCGTTATAAATTACGATTCAAGTACACTATTGCTCATCGCAGTTTGTGTCTGGCAGCTGGGTTACTAAACCACTGGACTACACGAATAGCGCTTTGTGCCGCGATCAGAAATTCTTTGGTTGGCATCTGGATGTCATCTCCATGGGTACGTTTGTTTCCCTTAGCTGGGCCATAATAAGGGAATCTAATCGACAAGTATCCATCATCCAAGAACAGGTATGAAACCGAGTTTATTTGGTATACAGCCAGTAACTTCACCGTTTTGGTGTTCCAAAAGCACTTGGAAACTGCAACCTAGTGTGGCAGAGTGGAACACCTAAGCATGCAAACATTCGCATCGCGTACGGATGCATTCACCTCGTACTTGATCAACTCGTAGGTAATGTTTCAGTAAATATTAAACAATGCTCCAAAGGTTAAGCATAATGGTGACATAGTTTCTTTCTCATTAAATACGATGGCAAAAGAACCTCAGTGCAAAACAATATAACGCGAATTTACTATAAGTAACATGGCTGATAAAGAGCAGTGAAGGTACGAGATTGGTGGAGAAAACAAACCCTTGGGAACAGGTTGGTATCGAGGGGGGTCGCCAACTACAGTACACGCAGTAGTTTGATGCAGAAGAAGCCAGCCACAGTGGCTTTACAGACATAATTTCTATAGTCAAGTATCAGTACGAGAAGTAATGTGTAAAAGAGACTCTCTGAAGCATCCCTATTGTTACGGACATTGTTTTCGTACTATCGGACGGGTCCCATTTTAATTGACAGAGGGGACTGACTGCGGAAATGCAGGGTGAGAAGCCCCTCGTTGCTCTCTTCGGCTGAAAACTCCTGTTAAGCGTCCAACACTCAGGCGTCTACCAATTATGATATTTTGGTGGTACCACGGACACCACCTGTCAATAATCTTATTTCCAGACGTATAAAGGTTGTTATTTCTTGCATTTTTACTGCTCCTACAGAACAGTAAGTATTTAGAGGGGGTAAATTTTTAAATAATCGTAAAGGAAGCCTATTCCACGCACAAATACTGTGTACATTTAAATTAGTAAATTGACCCAAGGAAGTCAAAAGTATTTCGATTTTAGTTTTAAATTTACTGACCAAAACCAGTGATGTATTCGCTAAATCACCATGCAATTTTCAACGAAAGCAGGACGCAGCTAAGTTAGCTAGGTAGGTGCCTAAGTCAACAGAGCATGCATTCTACAGTGTCCCCACATATTCCCTTATTGTTTGTAACAATGCTTTACTCGAGTAACATTGCAACCATAAAGTGATGTGGTAAACGTATTCATAAACTAGCTGGATTGTACCATATTATGTAGACAAGCAGTTTCACTTCACAAACCCTAAAACCCTGCTCTATTCCCAGCTTCTGTAGAAGCCTGCGCTATCATGTAGTGGGCATTTGGAGTGTTCACAGTGTCAATTATTAAGATGACGATTCTATTTTATGATTGGTCGGCATTCGAACTCATTGCTTGCGTGAGATAGAGCCAATCTAAAATAACCAAATGGTTTGTGGTTCAACTCAACGGAAAGTATAAATAATTGCCTGAGGAGGCGGTAAATGATGGGAAATCATTGTTTTGTATGCACTCAGCAACCAACACAGACGATGGTCGCTTTCTACATTCTTTTTGGTGAGTATTTTTGCTTTAAATTCTATACATTTGTGGGTATCCGATGAGTAGCATTCGTGGCTACTTCCTACACTCTTGCTGTAACCGCTTTGGGCGGCAAAAGCAACCTAGCTGAGTTTGCATTACTACCTTTGTTTAATTAAATGAGAAACCAAACGAAGCCTATCATGAGGAAAGTGCGTAGAGTGATAAAAATTTTAATTGGCGCACATTCATTTCCGTTTTTCTGACAGTTCCTTACGTGCTCCAGACACATCAGTAGCTAACACCAAAGTTAATGTGTCAGGTGGTGCAAATTCAGTGTTGAGGAAGTTGCCGTTATTGTTGGTTAAGACCCTAACGCACTAATCATGCAACATCTTTCAGATGAGTCGATCGCCACTCTTCGTCCTACACTGATCTTATTTCCAAGAAAGTAGCATGCACAATCGCTTTGATGAGTTCAGTAGTCATTGAGTGTACCAAATTTTATTCTACCTATTATCTAACATAAATATGTTCCACCTAGTTCTGTGGGGTCTACTTCAAAAGTTGACAGATTTGGGCAGCCCCAACCTTGTTAAGCTAAAATTTGCCTTTGCGGTTTGGCGAATAAGGCCGAATAAGGGTGCGTCACGCCGTCAAACAGGACCCCAAAACGTCAAGTAACTGCCAAGTATAGCGAGGACAATGCGTGTTTGTACACAGCCGAAAGGTGTCAAAAGGCATGCTGTGGGAGATAAAAGAGGGGTGCCATTAACATGACACTTATGTCCATACATAAAGACCAGGTTTCGAAGTTAAGCTTTTGCAGTTATGGTTGGAAATGACGACTGCGTTACCTAGTTAGATAATACTTACTTGGTTGCATAGTAGACAGAATCATCGTGTTGTATTATGCTTTGCATCCTGAGGCCGGGAATTTTAAAACATATCCTAAATTTGGCTACATTTGAAAAATCCATACTGAATATGCCTAAGGAATTCTGTGGTGACTTAACCCCAGTATTTAAGCATTAAAGTCCGGTCGTTTGCTATTAGGCATATTTCAACTAAATCGAAACCCACGCTCGAGCAAAATCCACTCGCCTGTTTGGTATGGCACTAACGTGTCAAATCCAAAGAAACTATTTGGACATGTGAACAACAGCCATCGTTCAAATTTATATTGGTCCCAACTCATTTTGGTGACACTACAAAATCATGTGATGAAAACAGTGAGGAGTTGTTTGTGGCAAAAATTTTATGTATAGTCATTCTTTATCAACTTTTCTATCAGCAAGGGTGAATTTTAGGAGACCACGAGTTGCATTATCTGGCTACCACTTGTACTGCACTCGTTCTTTCACACGGAATTAAGTTAAAGCGTTTCAAATCCTCATGCTGCCGCTAAAAACCTAATGTTAGACCACGTTTGATTTGCTGCTCTTCATTAACCCAACCAGTGGGTTGTTGCACTCCTTGTGTAACGAGTTGCATAAACACCTGTCGTACTACACTTCTGTTCGTAAGTGGGCTGTCAACCAGGCGCATCAAGCGGAATGCGTGTGCACCAATTTTCGGAATGTCGCCAAAGCGTGTTCACCAACACGTGGCTAGATTGAAAGTGAGCTCAACATGGAGATGCCACCGCACATGTGGTTTCATCCCGATGACCCAACTCCATATCCTTAATTTGAGATTCCCTAAAGACGTCTGCCTGAACAGCTTACTTGATGGATATCGTGAAGGATCATATACTCTGTATGGAAGTAAAAACGTGAACTGGTTCAGGAAATGCCAAGTACAACTACAGTGTCCAGAGTCCATGCGGCTTTGGAATTAAGGAGATTGGTAGCTCCTAACCGTTTTGTTGAATACCATTGCGTCACTACACGTGGTTTGAATCGCAGCCGGTGTGGACTTTATCGCTCGTAGAAAAATTTAGCGGAACATTCATAAATGGAGCACAGATTTTGTAAGCAAAATAAGTGCGGAATGCGGTGAACCCACACAATGAGCGCACTCCACTTAAGTATTCAAAAGTGAAGGTGAATATGTATATTTTTCGAGGGTACGAGATACAGTCCACTAAATGTTCTGATCTTCTTCTACAGCCGGAACGCATAAAATACATTATTGTTGAAGCTACTTGCGTCGGTTTTCAGACGCGTTCTCACAGTGGTTGCTCATTCAAATCTGTTATCGATTTTGATAGGATGACAGTAACTCTAAGTTCAGGATTAACTAAACATTCAGTTACTTTAGTACCACCTATTGTGGAACAGTTTATTTAGAACCCGTTTCCATGCGAAACGTTTCATCTGCACTTCCGCGCTTCGTCTGGCCATCTGCCTGCTGAAATGTTCCCAGTTTCTTGGTATAAAATGAGAAATTATATGAACTACTATGAAACTGGATAGTTCGCGGTATCACAGTCACCAAAGTCATCCTGTTTTCCCTTTGTTTCGGATGATTTCTGTAGGATAACTGTAGTCTACGAATCGCACAGGTATAAAGTAGAATATATTCCTAAACTGGTTTAACTTTTCATGTGATTATTCTTCAATGTATATTACGGTGTTTGGTTAAAACCACCACGGAAACCACTACCAGGTTTCTATTTGGGTGGCACGCAACCAATAATTTCAGTCTCCGCGACGGACAAAATCTGTTTCAACTTCGCTCTGCATATCTTTCGTCTAGCTATTCACTTGAAATGAAGTTACAAAGAATGATCAAGATTCAAAGATATGCGCCCCAAGCACGCTAATCCCATGCTACTAATCGCCGTATAATTGAAAACAGAATGGCTTTCAGTACTTTCGGTTTGAAGACGAGAATCTGGCAGTTATATTTCTGCAGTGTTTAATCCTCTATCACTTGCTTATGAACTAAAACCAGTGCAATGCGGGATATAAAATTAATTAGTTTTTATCCTGCAAACAAAGTCAGCGGTCGCTATCACCATTGACGGGCTACGGTATGCAATTTGCGTGGGTTCATTTTCACACCGGTCGAATAAATTTTCACTGTCCCAGACAGCTAAGCTTGACATATTATTCATTTTGCGATAGAAATATGCACGTCCCTCTGCCCGTATTTTTGTTACACTGAATCAAGAAAACTTTTACTTCATCAACAAACGTAGCTGACCTCTGTGGGTGTATGTGCTCATCGGGTTAGTGTAGGTAGCAAGTTGGCTGGGAATAGGCAGATTTTCGTCAAATTCTAGGCTGTTGTATATTCCGATTATGAGTAGGAAGCGTGTATATATCATTGTTTTCGACAGCATTCCAAAGCATGTATGTTTCTTTTCTTATACAGGTGTGCTCTGTCTTCTCGGGCAACAAGTCATAAATTCGGTAAGTTAAAGTGAATATGAAAATTTGGCGCACATATAAAATTGCTTTTTAATGTAACTTTTGGGTCCTATTGAACAGTAAGTAGTGGCGTAAGGTACATAAGGCTGAAACCAGTTCTCACGATTGGCTAATTGCAGGGAGCGACAGATAAAATACACACTACTCTGATAAACCAGAGTATTTATATTTGGATAATATTCTCCGAAATGGAATATTTAGTCTGTTAATAGAATCTAGTCTTTTGGACAGTTATGTGGTCAAAAAAGATGGATCATCCAATGTGTACGTGAACATCTACAAAATTTTATGGGCGAGGAATCCCATGGTGCGGCATTTCATGAAGAAGGCGAAACATTTCGAAACTTTTCATCCTGACGGGATGGCACACCGTGTCAAAATGCTTTTGCACACACCCCAATTCGTGACTAATTATTTGGTGTGCCCAGTTCAAAAACTGTGTGGATTTCCTCTGTTATTTTCCAAGAAAAGACGCAGCCTGATACAGCGTGCAGTAGCTACATAGAACAATTAGGATATCAGGGTCTTCCAACGATGGTGTAAGATGCCCATTCATAGAGTTCATTCGGTAAACCTGTCTCATCAACACCATCTTTGTCAAATACAGACATATCAGCACCACGGAATGTTGCAGAAGCACCTCGATGAAGGTGGCTGGACACGAAATATAATTTCTTGTTTGGTACGAAATAATTCCGGGGTTAAGATGCACAGAAATACAACTATTTCATTGCTCTGAGCTAAAGGCGACAGTCATGGACCAAAGCGTGAGCAAAAGTATGAAAACGAAATGTAGCTGAAACACACCCGGGCCATCTTGTAAGCAGAGTTATGGTTGAATAGCTCCTGCGAATAAATACATCATTTATTTCTCTGCCAGTGCGACTGTTTCGGCATATGGAAAGATCAGCAGGTATGCTGTCCACCCATTGCGCAGTATGGTGATGTCTTGTCACGTCAGCATCAAGGTGCATGCCAGCACAGAAACCTTGGCCGTTTTGGCGACTACCACTTGGAGAACAACTTCAGCGCTTCCGCTGCATTGCTGCCCCAATCATACGAGCGAGCTATCACACTAGTAAGTCGGTGGATTCCGACGACGCTAACGTGTTAAGTGAGCAGTGAGGAAACTTAAACTGAGTTTCACCTATTGTGTCTATGTAGCAAAAGCACTGATTCCTGAGGGCGGTATTGAATGGCGACCTGTTCATGATTAGCTTATGGCCATTGATCGATTTGTAGCTAATAACTGGCACTTATGACTATTACCTCGTAACAGTTTAGGGAAAATGTGGCAAATGACAACAGTTTATTAATAGTTAGCTGGAACGTGGCTTAGGTGATAGCCTGGGACTGCCAACCAATTCGACACTGCAAGGGCGGTTATGGCAACGGTAAGCTGGAAACGATCAGTGGCTACACAATCGGTGACCTATGGGGACAAGATGCGACTCGGTGCGAGAGGTTACTGTAGGCCGAATTTTCAATTTGTAAAACATAAACTTGTAACTTGATGTGGGAGAATCCTGTGTATGCCACAATGGTTGATGGTTTAGGCTGGCTGTTTGAAATGAAGACCGCCTTTCGTCACCTAAAAAATCCAAATGCATAGCTAGGCTATCATGTCTCAAACATAAGCAACTGTATGAACGTAAAGAACTATCCAGCGCGACTCTGGTTGTCTGGACAACTATGCACACAACTGGATGTTCTAAGCTAGTGAGGAGGTTCGAAGCCGAGGTTCCATACGATGCTTAACCAAACACGTTTTACATTTCTTACACGGTAAATGCGTCGCATTCGGGGACCATTAACCATCCTCAGTGAGTATCCATCTCCATGAAACGGTGATGTAATTGTTCACATTTCTGTCATTGGCTTATGGTCACAATAGTGAAGATGCGGGCGATGCAAGCCTAGTTAACAAGTGGTTTTCTCTTGATCCAGACTAGTGATTGTTGAGCAACTAAGGCTGTCTAATTGATTTTTTTAATGCTAAGAGAGAAATGCAGAACTGCGGATCTACTTTCTGTAGAAGACCACTGTGGTTCCTTGTTGAGTCTTCTACTGGGAACGCCATACCAAGGAAACAGCCTGATACTTAACAATCCTTTAGAAGTGCTGACACAGCTAGAAGGAGTTTAAAGATGTTCATAAACGGCCAATGTTTACCTATTGTGTTGGAATACCCGTGCATTTAGAACGCACCTATATGCATGTTTTGGCTACCTTAAACCCAATACTAATGTTCTCGTTTTAGTAGTTCACATCATTTCCTAAAATTTTGCCAAGGTTTATGTGTAACAGAGTTGAGAAAACGTGTTTACAGAATCTTTTTTGTATTCTGTTGGCTCGAATGTACGATATTCATACACATCGTCACAATATTTGCCATTAAGCGTTTAACGCAATCCCACCCTGGGAATCAGTTGTGCTTTAGTGAGGTTTGTAATGATTTAGCAAAACAGCCCATCCCTCTATTCTGCTTCAACTGAGAATATCGCGGTACTCGAGATAGTTTACAGTGAGACACATGTACAAGTTAGAGCGGTCAATAGTGCCGCAGTATACCTGTAGCAGCCAATAGGTTTTAGACTGGGTTTCCTGCAAAATTATCTGCTGGATTTCACTACTACTGTACAAACAGTTTCCACCTTACTAAGCCCAATCGGATGCGGAAAACTGTGCTTTACCAAAAGTTCCTTGGTTACTGGTGAGCGATTACCATGAGTGCGTGCCTAAAGGACAATTAGCCATGAGCAATCATTTATATTTCAGTGGTGTTCATGTTTCGAAAAGCAAGAAATATTCTATCAGAAAGGAAGCAACCAGTCAGAAACAGTTTAAGATGATGTGGCTGTTTACCTATTTCTGGAAATCTGTGGCCTACTGCAATCACTGATGGTATCTACATTTGCTCCATTACCAGACTGCAGTCGACTTCCACGGGTTTGCTAAATTCACCTGCGATGACCGGCTTAATGAAGAGAAGAGATAGTGGAATCTGTGGGGCGTTTATATATCAACTCTCACACGCTTCTCATGAATACGTTGTTATCTGGGTTAATTTCTAAACTGCACGTCGATCGTTTACACAATCGACGATCGATCTTATGCCACAGAGGATATCACCCAGTCGCACTAAGCCTCAGAAATACACAGAAACGGTTGTCGTATTCCTTCCTGAAGAAGGCAACTACACCAAAGTCCGTACGTATTGGAAGCTTACTAAATTATGACTACCGATGTAGATTAACCATCTGTGACGAGCAAACTTCTAACAGCCATACGCATTTACTTATGATATTAATAAGTCAGTTACAATTCAGTCTGGTGTATCTGGGCAATGGCTGTTTCACTGAGAAGAGTCTAGATGCGCAAGTAAGCACATACGGCTATCAAAACAATCATTCCGGGGACCAAACGATGAAAAAAATCGGCTTGAATGCTGCACCACTTAGATTGTGAGGAAAATGTAAGGAGTTTTCCGATCAGCCGAAGTCGGTTAGAAGTTCAACTAAGTTACTTCCCCAAATGACTTGAAAGGTTATTTCTTACCAAATGGTTAAGCTACCCCAGAGTTGTCGCGCGGCGAGACTACCACATACTGGATAGCTCAACTCAGTGATAAAACTGTCATCTTCTAGCGCAAGCAACTGCAAAAATCGACATTTAAATCATTTTTAAAGCAGAGATCAACCACGGGTTTTCCTTGTCATCACGTTAACGTCCATCACAGCTGTCCTACGGAATGTTTCTTTCCTTGACCTGCCAGAAATCGGACAGTGGATTTCTCTTTCACTTCCAATAAGCTGTGTGCTGTGCGATGAAATGATCCGAGCCCTACTGGTTACCTTTTACGTCATGCTACCTTAATCCTTTTTCGGCGTAATCGAAAGGAGCTCACGATAGAAGTTCTTGGTTAATGTAAAAGCCCTATGTACTTCAGGATATTCGTATATGCGTGATATGCATAGCATCAACACCAAAACCGGAAGTGTTGAAAGCAAGGCGTTAAAAGCTACTTGCAGCATCTACCCCCATGAGACAAAGATGGCGTTTATAATTATGTCAAGGACTCCACTCGATAAACCTTGTTTATTACGGTTTTCATCCCAGTAGTTCACGCTCTACATAGCACAGCCTAGTCCGGAAATACACCAGACGCGTTTCGCCCAGTTGGGGCTTGTTAGTGGTGGTGCACTCCCACGGTCCTCTAAGGAGGATCGAACCCTTGACCGCTAGCATTACAACACGTTCGTTCCGTCTAGGTTTCCGGTTTCGCGTAACCGTTAAACTACCTCTATCTCACAAATAGTAATGCGCTCACTGAACACCAATATCGTATTTTTTGTCTGCCTTAGAGGCGCAATTAAGCGAAACCGGACTTTTTGTCTGTCCCAAACGTCAGCCGCAAACCCACAGATGAAGGTAGGTAGGATTAGTCTTTAGATAACACACACGCCAAAGTTGGCTTAAATAAACGAGCTAAGAATATGCTGCACGCGATTGAAATTGCGGCACAGCTGTGCGTAAAAAACTAAACATGCAAAGCAAATAGTTGCATATGTAGGGAAGATACGGTCGCAATGTTTTCCTCATGATTATAGAATCGGCGTTGAAAGGATCATTCCCTGCCCGTTGAGTATACATACACAACTGCTTGTCTACATAAAGCAGATACAGCTTTACGTTTGCGCATTTCCTGGCCCATGAATATCCGTTAAATGGGTTAGTAAATAACGAAAAGCGCGTTCTATGAGTATTTTTCATCAAACTACTGGAGCACATGTCTTTAAAGATGTACACCCTGTACTGAATCAAAGTATGTAATCGCTTCCTCTTGCACTTCATTTTAGCGCTCACTGGAGTATGACCCTGACTACTTTCCCCGATTCACAGCGCGTCAATATGCAGAAGCGCCTTACTCCCTTGAGGAGTCAGGACCTCTTATTCCCATTCGAAGGGCTCGAGGGAAACCTCAGTACATCACCGGTGGAATCCGTTACTGAATACTTCCATCTGTTCTCTTCAACTATTCGGGGTGCTGTTTTCCAGCTGACCGGGCATGTATCATTCTGCAACACAGTGCGATGAAATGAATTTTTAATTTCACTCTGTTTTCTCTTAAGAATCTGGTGCTTTTCACACTTTGTTGCTGCATCAACGAAACCTAGTCGCATGACGGTCGATTTTTGAGCGTACGGTTCGATAAATATACAGGCAGATCTGCTGCTTACTTCAGACGAACATAATGGTTTACAATAGTGCAACAGTATGCAAGCTAACGATACAACCAGGACGAACTGAATACGCCATCCAAATAGTTTTCACTGATGGAAACCTTAGATGCACTAATGTGGTCCACCAAAATATTGTGGTCAAGTTAAGTCTGGTCTGTATGTAGATGCGATAAAAGTCTACTGTCAAAAATGTGAAAGTACGCAAATGGACGGACCATCTTACTTCCTTTGATGGTTTCAAGCATCAACCACACATTGTTGGGGAGAATTATCTGTGGTTGCACACTGATGAAAAGGTAGTGTTTGCAACCAAATTCGCAGCGGACGTGGTGCACCGTCATTTTATCAGGTTTCTTGATGACTCATTTGAATTTGTACTTACTTTTATGGTTTAAGCCCTTAAGTCTTGAATTGTGCGTAGGATCACTGTGTAATTTCTCGAAATTCGATGAGGTAAGACTGTATTGATGCATTTCGTAATGGTTTACCTAGAGAAATTGCCAAAAATGATCCGCAAAAGCTGAGAAAGCTGCAAAAGACCACATGAAAGCGATGTTGCAATGAAAACAATATAGGCCCGTTTAAAGCACCCGTCATGCCACGAGGGTCGGTCGTGTTACAAAAAGACATCTTCTAACGTTAACAATAAAGCCAAAAGTTCTACGGGTAATCAAACTTTTTATGGCATGTGGCGTGACGATAAATACGAGAAATGATGAGACCATGACATGCTAGGGAAAATGAGATGAACTGCATGGCAGTACAATTTGTTGCGGAAACCCGCTAGAGCTTGCGTCTGATCATCCGTCTCCCGGGCTTATTGCTGAGGTACCGCGTACACCATCTCCAGGGAATCGATATCTGATGTGTCTGGAGAAGAAACCATCCGCCGGTACTTTCCCATTTGTCTGCTGGCGAATTGGGTCTGGACACATCACTTTTACCAACTGGAAATTAGTACACAGCAGACTTTATCTGCTTAGCAAATGCTTCTAACCAACAACAAATTTGTAGGCTCAATAAGTCTTCAATTGGCTACCTTGACACTAATTACATCCCCTCCGGAAAAGTAGCAGTCAATGCTCTTTTAGGACCGATTTCAAAGGTAAGCACGATTTCAAGGGAATTGCACAGCGAACCTAAACCCAAAATAATGATTCAAGATGGATGAGGAATATTGTGCCATACAAACCAGTTTTGGTGTTCAGCGGGTTTTCAATATATGTTGCGATGGAAAGCAGCTCATGCTTTTTCCGGCAAGCGGACATATGTTTCTTTTTGACCTATTTGTAAGATAATGGTTTAGCCCTCCACATTGTCTTACAACACAAATCAGTAGTGAGGCGAAGTTTTTGTCCCTTGAGGAGTAAAATAAGGTTACTAATAAGCTATAACTTGTATAAGAAAGTGGCGTCATTCAGCCAGCACTAAAATATGACCAGTACCGTCCTGCTAGGGAGAGATAAGAGGATGTTTTCCTGGATCGTCAAGCACCATCAGAAAAGAAATCTCTGCAGCGTTCCAGAGTGCCTCTACCTCTTTGGGAGTTTCAAGAAGCAACCTCATATTTCCTTGTTCCTTCTAAACTGCAGTAAATACCAGTGCCCATTAGTTGCGATAATGTGGGATTACTTAAGCCTGTTTAACTTTGCCTCATAACCGTTGGCACTGCCCAGTGAACACTCCCAAGTATATCAAGTTACGACCGTATGAATGCTGATGCTTTCTAATTTCCTGTTTGATGCCTCGACGTTGGCAACCCACTAGAGTAATGATATCGCGTTTTACCATAACAGCGAGGGTCGAATTGCGTATTTGAAATGAAGACGGAAGCACTGAAAAGTTAGTGATAAACAAAAAGATCTGTGTCTAAATGCCTTCTCAAGATATTGATGTGCTGGTTATCAGATTTTACTATTGATCCGGTTACCCGAAACGACTCAAGTTCACAAGGACAATGGCGCCAAGGGTACAGTTGATCTAAGAACTCTGCGGTACTTTTCCACAGACAAGTGGTAGAAGCTCTGCTATCCCAAAAGGAATAATTTTCCCTTATCCAATATAAACTGAAATAGTTTTCTTTTGACCACTGGTGCATATTATCCAAGTCCAAATGGATCGGTTACCGATCAGCTTTCACTTTGAACCCTTCCAAAACCATGCTATCGTCATCATGGTTTTGGATATTTGAATAGATAATATGCACAAGGTAGTTTACAAATGTCCTACCACTAAAGAGTGCATTACGCTTATTCCAGTTGTATGGGATCATTCATGATTTCCCCGGTCTAACCACATTTGTTGCTAAAGGAGGGGTTTTGATCCAAATGAAGGTAAGATCGCCGAAATCATAATACTGAGGTTTAGATAAGCAGATTCCATGAGGAAGATGATAGGAATTGATCAAGAACTCCACATGGGTGATTACTTCTGAGTATCGTAGCCGTCGCCACTGTACTCTAACGCCTTTGCTTGCGTACGGTCTCCTAGCAGGGGCAAAACATTTGGCCCGGAGCTGTTCACCTGTGGCCCAGTAGCATAAACTGATGACTGGCAGTGCAAGTCACTGATGGTCATGGGTTCGAATCCTGATGGCATCTGATGGATGCGCACTACTGATGATGCCCAACAGGTTGAAATTGCAGTCTACTGCTTTTCCTGGCATGTGGAGAACTATCTGATTTGGAGGCTGGTGAGACAAGTTCGCAATCAATGTAGGCTGTGCCTGCTGTGTATGCAGTTTACACGTTCAAAGGCGCCATGATAAGTGCACGCATCAGCGACACACACACACACACATGTACACGCCCGTTCTCTATCGCTCATTGTCATATGTATCGGCATCCATTGGACATTTGGTTGAAATGTATTGAGTTACTTCCCATACGGTTGTCCTCTACTTGCGTAGACTACACCGGCGTTGCGGCCTACAAACCTGCACTATAGAATTACAGTCACATACTCCTATGTGCTTCTACAGTAAATGACTGGAAGTTCACTTGTGCGACGAAGTGACTATTGCGGGTATTATCACATAGCTGAAAGACATGTTTACTTATTTCGGGTTACCAGCGCAGATGGTGATGGACAACGGTCTGCAGTTTACAATTCATGAGTTGCATTGGTTTTTTCGACTGCACACTGTGCGACATTCACGTACTACTCCGTGTAACCCTGCGGCATGGTCAAGCGCTTTAACCGGTAGTTGAAACAGAGCATCCCAGCTTTTCATCTGTCTGGTACAGTTTGGGAAGATGCAATTTTACAAGCACTCTTTCACTACACAACCGCACACCATCGAGCAACGGACAAGGCTCCGGTGTACTCTATGGACAAATTTGAATGTCGCCCTCCCCATCCCTGTAAGTAACACACCAACCAGTTAGAAAGTTGTTAGAGATACCAAGCCTCCTGTCGGAAGTCTGCTACTTCGACTCAAATGGGAGCTTTCGTACGTGTTAAGGGAAACACGGTATCAAAAGGGCAGCTTATTTTATCGGAACCTATAAGGTGAACACGCGTCTTGATGACTTGCACTTAGCAGCTGGGGGATGACAGTGCAATCCACGCGGGGAGGGCTTCTACGAGTAGCATACGACAGAATTATGTTCTATTCTTCCGTCCTAGCAAAATTACGAACAGCACGGTGTTACGAGCGTCTTACCGAAAAACAAAATCAACCGATTGATGTGGATTTATTGATCCGCATGAATAGGCAGGAGATGAGGTTGGTATTCTGCTTACACGTTTAGACTCGTCTGGCTTTGCGCACTCATCACACATACACGCACACGCACACACTTACACGACCGGTCGTTTGTAGTGTACCGAAAAACACGCTCTTTCAGTATTTTGCAACATTGTGTAGAGGGGCCGCTTCCAAGAATGCCTCGGGGGAGCTCTTCGGAGCTATCTGAGAGCGGATCGAGAAGGACAGCTAGCGATGAGCCTGGGCCCGGAACTACGGAGCGGGAATATGTGGACAGCGCAATAAATCAGACATATACGCCGCTAGCGCAGCCCACAGGACCGAGGCCGAGCCGATTGACACAGCCCAGAACAAGCAAGTCGAGAGCTCTCGAACGACTCCTGGCCGATCCAAATCGGGTACAGAGAAGTGGGGATCGAGGCGAAAACAGGAAGGCGGATCTTCCAAGTCAGAGCTCCCGAGGCGAGAGGACTGGCTCGTCTCTAACTTCCGTACCTGTGTTGCGTTGTGGGACGGAAATCTAGTCGATATTCGATGGCGCGCGCGAGACCCTCATGTGCCCATTTTCGGTGTGCAATAAACGTCTACCCCCCTGTCGTGTCGTTCTTCGCTACAATTGGACCTTACGATTGCTTTAACCTTCAAAACGCTCACTTGTTTTACTGAATGCACATCCGTTGACACAAAGCGTTTTGGTGAGTACCTTGCTGCACCGTTTTTCGCTCTCACTGATTTCTTCCTATTTTTGTGGCCTGCCCAATATTCGTTGGGTTCTGTCGCCCCCAGCTTCTATACTGTCCCGTATTTGACACGTTTCTTACGTGACATTCCTTACAGACTAGTATCCCAGGCGCCACCAAACAATTTGTGACCCTTGTCAGGAACACGCAGTCCGCCACTTTGTTTTCATTCTGGTGAGCTCGTTCCAGTGACTTTGATTCATTATTCGCTATCGTTTTGTTTTCTCAACTGCCGCTTATACTTAATCATTTCTCACGATGAATAGTCCTGATGATAAACCATCCACGTACGTGGTTAGAGCCTTAGAGCTAGCCTCCCCACAACTTTGGGAGAAAGACCCGTGGTTATTGTTTGCGCATATAGAAGCCCCTTGTTGCAATTGTAACATTTTTCTGATAAT